AGGAAGGGGGGGAAGGGTTTCCCCTGGCACTAGGGGGCGCTTGCTGGAGGGGGGGGGCTCTTCCCCCCCCAGGCACTAGGGGGCGCTGTGCTGGAGGAAGGGGGGGGAAGGGTTTCCCCTGGCACTAGGGGGCGCTGCAGCATCTGGGGATTCTGTTCCCATTTCTCTGTCTCAAATGCTCTCTCTTTCTCATCCTCCCAGGTGACATACAGAGTGGTCCAGGTGACGGACAGTCAGCTGGATGGACAGAAGGACGCGACGGGGGCTGTCAGCGTAGTCTCGACAGCAGCCTTCGCTGGAGGCCAGCAGGCTGTTGCCCAGGTGAGGGACGGGCTGCACCTGGTTCCCGTCCGGGTGCGGTGGAAGGGATGGGGGTCTGGACAGGAGGGGGCTCTTACGACACTTCCATTGGCCCCCCCCCGGCGCTTTCCAAAGGAGGCTGGAATCCCCAGGCCTGTTAGAGCATTTGGGGAAACTGAGGCACGGGGCAGTGAGGTGACATGCTGGGGTCAGCCCACAAGCAGGTGGTAGGGCCAGAAATGGAGCTCAGGAGTCCAGAGACTCAGTCCAGGAGCCTCCTCGTGCTGTCCCTTTGGGGAAGCCCAGATGAATCGTTCACAAAGCGCTCCACAGCCACCGTGTCTGAGAAATCGCCTGGCAAAAGCCGGCTGGGTTAGGTGTCTAGGGCAGCGCCTGAGGGCCCTTCTGGGATCAGGGCCCTGTTGTACCGTGCACTGCCCAGACCCAACCGGACACGGCCCTGCCCAGCCGGGATCAGGGCCCCGTTGTACCGGGCGCTGCCTGTCTGGGATCTGGGCCCATCTGAAGGGCGCGGCAGAGCAGGGAATTGAGCCGGGGTGTCGGCTGCTCCCAGCCAGTGTTTCCCTCCCTTGGGAGCTGGAGCTCGGGGTTGGCTCCCTCCCCCACATGCTGCTGGTGGTTATGGGTTAGCCTGGCCTTGCGAAGGCGCCTTCCTCCCGCGTGCGCTCGCTCAGAGGTGGTCGGGGCCAGGTGTTGCCTGCTGCTCTGGTCGTGTGGGACAAGGGCTGCCCACGGAGCGCACACGGTGCCTCTTCACTGCAGCCAGATGCGCCACCCACTGGATTGCCAGCTGCTTGGCACGGGCTGTCGGTGCAGTGGGGGCGCGTGTACAGCGCCTGGCGCGGTGGGTGGCCGGACCAGCCTGGGGGCTGATAATAGCACTCCCTTCTGTCAGTGGATCGCCGGGCACTTTGAGCATTACCTCCCCCCAGATAGGGGAAACTGAGGCGGGGGGGTGTCAGGAATGAGAACAGAACCTAGATTTCCCAAGCCCCACCCTGCTCTATCCACTAGGCAGCACTGCCTTGCGGGTGCTCTTGTCAGTGCTGACAATTGGTCCATCTCAGGCAGGTCTTGCTCCAAACTCAAGGGTGTTTCTCTGTGGCAGGAAGCTGCCGTGTTGACTCTGTCCTAGAACCCCAGAGATTTCTGGGCCTGATGCTCCTCTGGGGCCAGCTCCAGGGGTGACCAGGGCCCCTCTGCTGTGGGCGGGGCTAATCACTCCCTCCGTCCATAGAGTCCCCAAGTGCATCTCCTCTTGGGCAAACTCCTCCCCCCCTCACTCTGTGGTTGACTTCACCGTTTTCCCCAGCCCTTCCCAAGGGCCCGGGCTCTGTGCCCAGGACCAGGGGGGTGCGTCCCCATCACAAGGCTGTGAAGGGCAGGCCGGCTTGCTGAGCAGAGTGCTGGTGTGTTCCCAGCCTGGTTTGCCGAGTAACTTTACCAAATCCCCTTATTCCGTGCCTCAGTTTCCCCACCAGTGACATGAGGCGAATGGTGCTGGCTGCTGGGGGCGTGTTTCTGCTAAGACGCTGCAAGGCGCTCGGGGGACGGGGGTGGTGGTGGCGGCTATTTGTTGTCTGGCTACAGGCTGGCCCCTGTGGCCGCTTTGGGAAGGACCCAGGGGTCCTGGGGGCACCGACTAGAGACTGTGCCCAGCTCTGGGGGGGCCGCATGTCAAACAGGACATGGGGAAATTTGGGAGGGATCCGAGGGCTGGAAATCCTGCCCAAGGGCCAGGCATGGAGGGAGCTCCAATCGGGGAAGTTTCTCCAGAGATGCCTCAGAGGGGACCAGATCCGGGTCTGTCAGCACCTCCCTGGGGGAGAGCAGAGGGCCCGTTAACCCAGCTAGGGCAGGCCAAGTGAGGGGGAGAGGGCGGATTAATTCAGGCTGGAGTTAAGGGGCAGATTTTTAACCAAATCCTGCCCAAGGGCCAGGCATGGAGGGAGCTCCAATCGGGGAAGTTTCTCCAGAGATGCCTCAGAGGGGACCAGATCCGGGTCTGTCAGCACCTCCCTGGGGGAGAGCAGAGGGCCCGTTAACCCAGCTAGGGCAGGCCAAGTGAGGGGGAGAGGGCGGATTAATTCAGGCTGGAGTTAAGGGGCAGATTTTTAACCAGCAGCAGGGAATGAACCTTCTCGGGATGGTTCATCATTCTAGATCCTGGCCATGATTTCAGGCCAGCAGTGGTGGTGCCCACCTGCCTCCTGCAGCACAGCGCCCCTCCTGGCTTCCCTGCGCCATGCAGGCTGGATCTGCCCCAGCCTCACTGGGGCACGGAGGGGTCTGGGCTGCAGGGTGGTGGGATCAGGAGGAAATCTGTCCCTTGGCAGGCGATTCCATCATTGGCCACTAGAGGGCGCTTTTGTCTGCAGCAGCTCGTTCTGCCCAGTACCGGAGCCTTGATGCCGGGCTAGATGGGCTGGCTGGTCTGATCAGAGGGCAGGGAGGCAATCAGGCTAGATCCCACGCCCCTCCCAGAGCCGGCGATAGAACCCAGGAGTCCTACTGTCAGCCGCCATGTTCTAACCACTACACACCACTCCCCTCTCAGGCTGTGATCCAGAACCCGTTCAGCAATGGCGGGAGCCCGGCGGCAGACGCGGTCAGTGGGGAGGCCCGCTTCGCGTATTTCCCCGCCTCCACGGTCGGGGACGCCACGGCGGTGTCGGTCCAGACCACGGATCAGTCCCTGGCACAGGCTGGAGGTGAGAGCCCCAGGGGGTCTGCTTGCTCCTCGGGGCCAGGCCTTCGCCACCGCGGGGGCGGCTCCTGCTTCCCTGGGTGAGGATGCCTCGCTGGGAGGGGCTGACCTGGCTTGGAGTAGCGCAGCCGGGCTGGCTGTTGAGGGGCCTCGAAAGGGCTAGCAGAGCTGGGGGGGCCTTTGGGGAGACAGGAGGGGGCGGATGTGGTGCCCTCAGCAGCATCTGTATCAGTTGCATGTGTGACAGCCCCCTTTTTCTCCCAGTGACGGGCGTGGGCTCTGGGCAGCTCCCAGCCACGGCAGATCCAGGTTGCACT